GGGTAAAAATCACTGAAGCAATAATTTTTTAGCTCATGCTATATAATATAATTATGGAGAGTACAGCTTGAAAAAATGTGTGACTTCACATTCTGGGGGGGGGGGGGGGGGACAAAAGTCGTTATGACTCAATGAAAGATGTCCCCTGCTATGACAATGTCCCAGTCATGGAAGGACTACCTTTACCAATGATGCTCTAATAAACTGTCACCTGCTACGGACAGCAGCTTTCCAATCGGCTATTTTGGGGAGGAGAACAAGATATTTTCTATCTCCAATGAAAAGCAACTCACAAACCTACTTCTTCAGTTTTCATGCCGAGGGCTTGTGTCATCAAAACTACGTACTTCATAGTGTAAATCTTTACTGGTATGCTCAAGGCATGGCTAATCAAAGTGCATACACTGCAAGCTCAAGACGTGGCTAAAAATATATGCAGCTAACTGCTTCAATGATTTTTWCCTATACTTAACCCATCCTTATCAGTATAGTTGCTTAGTCACAAAGCAGGCCAGCCACAATGTTTTTTCAAAGGACTGTATATCAGAGGCACTATTTAGGTGCCCATGTCCTCCCTCTGAATTTCACTGCAACTATGTTGCAATTTCTGAGTGTTTTTTCTTTGCTTGTTGAATTTTGAGTCATGCAAGCAACAACAAGTATCTTTATTACTAATTACATATTATACACATATATATATATATATATCAAATTAAGCTTTACAATAGTATTATTTAACCAAGATTCAGGTAATAGCTGCTCAGTATAGCAAGCTAATCGAGCTGAGCAGTCGTTAACTGTTTTTAACACATTGATAAGGTCTCCTTAACTATAGCCAAACTCAGTTTCTGAGTTGGACTATAGATAAGTTTAAGGATTGAAGCAAGGTTAATGCTTCACATTCTTTACCCATACTTACATGTATTTCATATATTTTCAAGGGTCAACAGAAGGAATATGATGCTCTTGTTCAAAAGCTTGGAGATTCATCACTCACGGTACATGTTACTAGTATTAAAAGAAGAATAATCTGATAATGATTTTGTAATCATTCAGTTATTCAAATACTTACCACAACTTGCTATCATAACAGGACTAATTCGTTGTGGTCAAAGAGAAAAATATTCTTTGTTTGAGTTGTTTTCTCATGCATTATCATTAAACAAAGAAATGATACTCTACGGAATAATATGTGGTAGAAATATTATTGGATTTCTTTGCCACAGTACCTTTACATGTGGTTAACCAAATGCATCATAGGTTTCCAAACATTGAGTGGGACTTTTTTCAAGGATTTTGGTTCTCCTCACTTACAAAAAAATATTCAATAGCAGAAAAGATATGAACTTGGCACCCTTGCCACCAAATGATATTACAATGCCTATCCCAACCCTAAACCTAACCAATCAGCCACAACGTGAATTCGCTGTCATATAACAATGCTTTGTTGGTGTATGTATTAAAGCATTAAATCATAGTAATATCATATATACTATTGCAGGACATAGAATTCCCCTGACAATATTCCCATACACGAAGTTACTACCCTATCTATAGCAAGTACTTTTAAATAGTACCAGTAGCCCTTATTAAACCTTTTGGATAACCCTATTGCTACGATATATGCTTATAACTAAGGGCACTTTAAGAGATTACTGATTTAAGAATGTTGTTTTTGTAGTCTGTTCACCTTAGACGATACCTTAAAGCACTTAGAAGGTGTACTTCATCTCTTACAAAGAAATGTGATATTCTGGTTGGCACAATACTGGTAATTATATATACAGTAATAGCTGTTTACTGCCCTTTACATACATACTGTACATACACACACACACACATATACGTATGTAAGAACAAAACGTACGAAACATTTGACTACATTTGTTTTTAACTTGTCACTTTGTTTGTCAGTACAGGAACTTTCAGTTGCATGTTTGATTTGTCTGACTGTCTGAATGTCATGGCCCGGTTGTACAAAGGGTGGATAGTGTCATCCGACAGATAAATCCTATCCAGTGGGTAAATTTATTGGATAACAGCATCCACTGAATAAGATTAATCCATTGGATAGTGCTATCCACCCTTCGTACAACTTTGTCCTGTTTATTTGTCTATGCCTAATTATGTAGTTTCTATTTCTAATCTCTTTCTATTTATTTGTTATTTTATCTCATTGTTTGTTGTTTGGTCTACCTGTTTGTCTTCCTCCCTTTCTGTCTGTTTTCGTTGTTGTGTTTGTTAGTTGGTTGGCTGGTTTATGTCTGTCTGTCTGTCTACTGTATCTGTCTGTCTGTCTTTCTGTGTATCTGCCTGTCAGTCTGATACATTTTTATTGATTCAAAGCATTGGGTTGGTTCAATAAAGCATTCTACAGTGTCTTTATATTTCTAAAACAAGTTTTTTTCGTCCAGAAACTAAACTGGGCAAATGCAGATGATGAGACTGCTGATGAATTTGTAGAATTCCTCATGTCACTTGTATCAGCGCAGACATACTACCTGAGAGCCTGTCTAAGAATGTTAACAAAGCTCTTCCTTCCAAGTATGTACAAGGCATCAAACTATAATAGACCCTTTTTGAGTTCCAAATTACCGCTGTGTTCCTTGATTACAGACTCATTTACTCAGGCTTAGCCTTGCGTCAGTGTTTAAATATTCACAAATACCAACGGTAAAGTAAAGAATATACAACTCCAACAATACAAACACTTTGACATTCGACGGACCTTGACTGTGAATATTCTACACAAAATTGAGGCTAAGCCTGAGTAAATGAGTCTGTAATCAAGGAACACAGCGATAATGTGGAACTCCAAAAGGGTCTATTGGTTTTTTAGTGATAGTCCACTAGTTTGTTTATAATAATAACAATTATAGAAAATAGCTCTCTACTAGTGGGATAACACTACATGTACCTTATTACAGTACATGAAATTTTCACTACACTTTCATTTCACAAATTTTCACCATTTTTAAAAACTCGTGAAATGAAAGTGACATGAAAAATAAGTGTTGCGAAAATGTAATGATTCAAAAATTAAGTGACCACTCAAAATGCATATTTAAATAAATATTGAAATTGCAAAATTAAAGTGCCTTAGAATAGAGTTTTTTCCAAAATCACGAAAATAACCTGTCACGAAAATTTCATGTACTGTAATAAGGTAATAGCTGGTATTTACAAACTTTAGCGTGGTGCAATTTGATACTAATAAATCATACTTCTTCCAAAAATTACAGCAATTCCCAAAGGAGTGGACCCAGAAGATGTCAATATGGAAAGTATGTTACCTAATCTTTGTGTCTTTTACCGGCCTAAAGTCAGCGTAGATAGGGAAAAACTGTGGCCAAGGTTTTAGATATATTACAGACCAAGTCCGAGTGCTCAATTTCCCCCAATCTAGACCGATTTTAGGCCGGTAAATAACTTTCTTTCCCATAATTATTTTACTATTCCATGTTTTGTTGTTGTTTAATTATCCTTTTTCTCATGCGCACACACTTTGATGACATACATGTACATGTATGCCTTAYGTCAGGATACTGGATCGTGGGCAAAAATAGAAAATATAGCCCACTTGTGCAGCCTATCAGAACACGATTCTTTGGATACCAGACTGGAATAGATATTCAAACATAATGTAGGTAATAAAATGAAGCTTAATTTTAGATAGAAAGATGGGTAAACAGATAGATAGATAGTCAGTCAGCTAGAGATGCAGGAAAATAGGAAGCCAAACCACTCAAAAGGCAGATATTATTCAGATATACATTSTACAAGGAAAAATATAAAACTTCTCAACTATTACCAGTAAAAATATATTCAAGGGAATGAATAAACATGTTCTACAAGGTATACAATAATTGTATATTTCTTCTTTTAGAACAACAGAATATTTTCAACCATGCACACGATGGGCTGCAGGCCATTCTGGAAATTGTGCCAACGTAGGTTTAATCTTTATCCATTGACAATATGCTCTTTACTGTCTCTTGACTGTTTCTCTATTTGTCTGTCTGTCAGTCCCATGTCTGCACTGTTATTTCCTTTTTCCTTATCTGTGTGGAAGCACAGATGGCATAGCTGTGTTAAGGGATTGCCTCTCACCAAGACGTCCAGGTCGATTCCTGGACTTGGTGTTGTATGTGTATGTGTATGTGAGTTGCCTGTTGGTTCTCTCCTGTGCCCGAAGGGTCACAGGAAAAAAAACCCGGATTCCCAAATTGGGAATTGTTGGGAATTTCCTTGAATTCCCAATTCGAACACCAACGTTGAGATTTATTGTTGGGAATTTCCTTCTAATACCCAATAGAAAAACAAAATTCCCAACAAACTAACATTGGGAATCAGTGCCACGTTCCCAATTTCGTTCTCTCTGGGAATTGGATGGGAATTCCTTGGGAATTCAAGGAAATTCCCAACAAATTCCCAATTTGGGAATCCGTTTTTTTTTTCTCCTGTGGGTTTTTCTCAAAGTTCTCTGGTTTTTATCCCTCTGCAAAAATCAACTTCTTAATTTCAGTGGTTGAAAAGCCTGCACTTCTAATTTTTTTTAATGCTATGCATCATTCTGTAAACACTTCCACAAGTTTTTGATTTCTTTTTGACATTTTGACTACTTTCAATTGAGCTCTTTACTGCTAACCAATTTAAGGTATTAATGATTCAATCATGCCAGGTCGTGCCGGGTCGTTTTTCCACGCCTTGGGCCACATATCGGCGCGCTCGCGGCCGAGCTTTTCTCGATTGGGTCAATTATTTTCACTTATATTTCAAATTTTTTTTTTTTTTTAGGACCTCCCTGAAAATCATTTTTATGAGTGGAGTATCCTCATTAAATATTATTATTATTATTATTATTATATTAATTAATTTAAATTTGTTGTTTCAATAATGTGACATAGATGTACAAACTCTACCTATTGAAACATCAAGGTGAAGCATCAATACCTAATCGTTTAGGGGCAAAGAGCACAATTCAAAGTTGTCAAAAATATATCAAAAGATTGTTGAAGGGTTGACTTTTCATTTCCGTACCTCTTTCGTAGGGCTCTTTTCATTGTTGACTATTCATCTTCTGGTTTTTGCCTTACGTACTTTACAGTGCGAATCGAAAAACCGTGGGCACTTGTTTTTTGACCAATCAGAATTGACTTTCTAACCACAAGATAACAAATAGATAACAATAACGCTTTTGGTTAAGAAAAGTTCTTGATATATTTCTAGATATCCACAGTTTTTTGATTTGCACTGTGATATATATTATCTTTTTTGTAGAACACCCAAGTTTTTATTACCTATTCTGTCTGATAATTTACCTTACTTCAAAAAACACAGTATATATCAAGTAAGTAAAAGATTCAACTCTCACTAATTTCACTCTGAATTCCTTTTTTCCCAAAATAAAAGTACAGTATTTATTCTGGAGAAACGTTCTGAAGAATATAATTATAATGTGTAGTTCCAAAAATTATCCATACCCCTCTCATGGAGGAAATTTTTTAAGACACCCCCTACCCCCCGGAAATACCAATTTTCTTCCATACAAACTCTGTAATTTTTGTTCTTTCTCTGACCCCCCTACTCTTCGGAAATTCCAAATTCCTCTGTGGGGAGGGTATGGATGATTTCTGGAGCTACACATTATTGTATTTTCATGGTTTTGTTTTTTTCTCAGACAAGTTATGTCAAGAACCTGCTACATATCACCCAGTATTTACCATCAATACAACAAGATGTCCTGGAATGTGTTATCAACCATGTCACCAGAATAGATGTAAGTGGCAAATGTAGCTGATTGTTGAGGAAGTTAATTTAAAATCTTGTAGCCTTTTCATAACTCATATAGGAACCTTGATTATTTGATTAATTAACAATAATAATGATCATGAGCAACTGTCCCAATGTTGAGGGATGGGTATGGGGGGAGGTTTCATCCTGAAGCCAATAATTAGACAAGATGTTTCTTGAAGATTTCCAGAAGTGGAATTGCGTTAAAAAAAATATTTAGGTCATGTAATTATCAGAGACTCTGGCTTTTGAATAATAAATCAAATAAATCAACTTTTGTTTATTGAGGATGACACTTAATTGACAGTAATTCGACTGACAAACTCGTGGTCCTCTTTTAATGTCTCTAGTCCTTTATGGACAGGACCGCCATTCACCTGATCATGAGAGCCACTTGAAGGTCCAACCATTAATTACAAAGGCAGCACCCTCTCCTTAGTCATTTAAAAACCCTGAGAATTATTCCATTTGAGGCTTGAGCCATGCCCTCACACACAACAGACAGACAGACATACACTTTTAACAGCTGAGCTAACCAGGTGGCAGTTAGCATGATTCCAATAAAATGATTTACAAGATTTATTTAAAGAAAAAACATTTTTTCTAAGGTTGAAGTTCCTCGTCATGAATTGGATGAACCAGAAGAAGAGGAAAACACCCAGTTTGAAGTGGACTTGGTATGATGACTGCTATTTTGTTCCAAGAAATATTTTACTCATCCTTTTAAAGGGGATTGTGCATTCAGGAGTAAGGGACCAGTCATAAACTAGAGGGGGAGCTCAAGGGCTTGTGCAATTTAATTTTGATCCGCATGATTTTTAGAAGCCCTCTCTCTCCTGCTGTAGAGGAATTGTTGGACAATCATAATATTTTGCTCCAAGCTTGCACAAATTTTTGTAACCTTTCCTTTGAGTTTACATGAAAGTTTACAAAAGTTTACAGTACTACAAACCCCTTAGCCCACCCCCTAATAAATATTGGTATATTGATTTTTATAATGTCATGTGTTTCATATTTAGTGTATTATTTTTTATTAGGAATGTATTAAAAAGGAGAGCACAACAGAAGATGACGATGAATCAAAAGAGATTGTGGAAAATGAAATGGCAGAAACTTTAGACCAATTGATGGAAATCTTATTCAAATATATTAAAGAAATATGTTTTGTAGATGGTAATGAAATTGCTATTTAAATTGTGTAAGAAGAGATAACTAGCTAAAAACTAGTGTGAGCTGCGTCAGTGTTTCTAATGAAACAGTAATGATAAAAGGGTAAATTTTACTGACATTTCGGGCGCTAGTCCTTTGTCGGAGTAAAAGAGAAAGAGGTGGTAGAAAGGAGTGTTTATATACTGAGAATAAGACAAAAGAAACCAATGAGAACATTTGGTTGGCAAGGAAACGAAAGAAACAATCAAAGTACAAAAGAGTGGATTAGTTAAAAGCAACGCGTTCATTAAATCCCGTTGGGATGAAGAGTGCCCACTGGTGAGAATAAGGTGCATTTAAATTGTGTACTGTATCAGTCAAGCAATTAATGAAGGAGTGAATGAATGGTTGAGTGGACAAATTTTTGGGGTACTTGCGATGTCATAGCCGCCATTTTGGTTTACTTTGACAAAAGATTTGTTCTTGGTGTCTTTTGTCATGTCAACCAACATGGTGGCCATGTCCTATTTTTATCCATTTACTTTTGCATTTGTTCTGCATTTGTTAGGTTGTTTCATAATCTGTCATCACATGCTAGCATGCATGCATATGGTGTAGACAGCCAGGATACTGGCCCAGGGTCATAGGTAGAAAATACCGCCCGCTTGTGAAGCCAATCAGATCAATCAATCAGAGCCAATCAAACATAATTCATATGATAATAAACCAGAAAAAAATTAATGTATTTATTTATTGATGTAACTTCTCGTTTCTTAGGCCTTTATCATGTGGATGCAAGCACAGAACTATTCAATCAACTCATAAGGGTAAGTGCAAACTCCTTATCTTCGACCATTGTCCCCCTCTGTCTTCCCCCTCCTTCCTCCCCCCTCCCCTGCCCTTGGGCTACCCTTGTCCAGTCATGATTGATTGGGAGCCCACCAACAAGCAAAGGTATCCCAGCTAATAAAATGTGTATTTTAGTCACAGTTTGCTACCTGTGCTAGAGATGATTCAGATATAAGCACTTATTCACACCAGGCATAAATGATTGCGTTACTGCCTCGTTTTATTGTTTTATAATATCTAATAGGTCCTTTCGGTTGATGTGAACAAGTACTAACAGATTTGAAGTTAGTGGCACAGGAAGCCCGACTGAGATAAAACTAATATTGAAAGATGAAAAGCACAACTGCTTTACTGCTCTGTGATACAAAAAAAAATATTACTAATAGTCTAATATTTTATCTTCTCCAGGTGTTTGATAAAATCATCCTTCCTACTCATGCCAGTTGTCATGTACATTTTGCTATTTTCTACATCTGTAGTATAGACCAGGTATAAAAAGACTGATGTTAATTACACATAGCTGGAAATCGACTGTTTATTGTGACTGTAGTACTAGATTTTTTCCCATGTAGCCTCACATTCAAGTGCTATTTTGGGAAAAATGTTACAGTGGGGTATCTATCTGAATATATGAATGAACTAGCCTCCTCCGCAGGCGTCTTTCATCTTTCTTTTCTTTTTTGTTGAATTGGGATTCCTGTGTCGCGAATTGGGATTCCTGTCGAAAGAGACTAGGCGCTAATTAAACACAGGAAGCCCAATACTCAAAAGGAGAGGAGAGAGAAGAGAGATGCATGTGGAGGAGGCTATGAATAAACAAACAAACGAACAAACAAATGAATGAATAAAAATAAACCAGGGTTTTTGTTCTCATGGAAAAAAAACCATGACACTGTGTGATCAATGCGCATATGCACTTTATCCAGAACATAGTTATCGTTATAAAATACTCTCCTTGAAGATACATGTATGTCAGTCATCTCATTATGTTGTTTTCCAGACATTTGTGAATTCATTCCTTGATTCTTGTTGGAAAAAGGTAATATTGAATGTCTCATGCCATAATTTTAAACTTTGCTTACCAGCTGAATAATAAGTCAATTTAACAAATAGACATCAGTTTTTTATGTGTCTGTCCTCTTATTGACGATAAATTGCGTCATCACATTGTCAAAGTAGTGTGGATCCAAGAGGCAGAGCCGACATAACAGAGCCAGATACCGTGCGCACTCCTGGAGGTCAGCTTTATCTGTCTGTCCTCTCATTGATGATAAAAAATAACCAATCAGCATGCGAGAAATTTGTAAGTTATTGTAAAATTCGTTTTCCATGGATAATGTCATGGTTGTACATCGTGGGATGCGAAAATGCTAACATGCTGCAACAACTTAACATAACGAAGCGTACAAGGGATTCTAGTAGTTGTAGTAAATGATACTGTAAAAAAGTCCTTTTTTTATAAAAAAAGACCTATTGCAAATTCCATGACAGATCACAAACTATTCTATTTATTAATTATCTACCTATGATTCTAGATAGAAGACATCAACACCCCAGCTATAATACGTCAAGCATGTGCTGCATACATAGCTAGTATTGTTGCTAGAGCCAAGTACATCGTGGTCAGGTCAGTTAATATTCATAATAAAACAGATTCATAAATGATTATCAGATAATATAAGATTGATGATGATAAGAAAATATCCAACTGATAGAGTTCACCAATAAACAATTTTTTTCTGTTCCATTCATCCCCTTTTCCATTTCTTACATTTTATTCCTTCTTCACATCCTTCACCCTTTTTGTTATTCTCTTGGTAAAGAAAAGAGCCCTGAAATATTAGCCAATCATAGCAAAGATAAGTTCCCTGTTTCATCATTAGCCAATCATAGCAAAGATAAGTTCCCTGTTTCATCATTAGCCNTCCCTGTTTCATCATTAGCCAATCATAGCAAAGATAAGTTCCCTGTTTCATCATTAGCCGATCATAGCAAAGATAAGATCCCTGTTTCATCATTAGCCAATCATAGCAAAGATAAGATCCCTGTTTCATCATTAGCCAATCATAGCAAAGATNATCATAGCAAAGATAAGATCCCTGTTTCATCATTAGCCAATCATAGCAAAGATAAGATCCCTGTTTCATCATTAGCCAATCATAGCAAAGATGACATCCCTGTTTCATCATTAGCCAATCATAGCAAAGATGACATCCCTGTTTCATCATTAGCCAATCAGAATACTGTAATTTCTCCATTTAATGAATGTTTTATTATATTGAACAGTACTGTGAAGGTTTGTCTTGAGTTGTTAACGCACTGGGTTCACTGGTAAGTGTTGTGTCGAATGTCTTATATCCTTGATGAGAATATACCTCTTTACCTTAGCTGTAATGTTAATTGTATTTTGATTCTCACAGCTACATTGACGTGCATGATGCATCTTGTTCTGGTCCTGATGCAGCAAGACATGGTCCATTTTATTCTGTTTGCCAGGTACCTTTCATCCTACAGTATGAAAAAACTTACCATTTAGAAGATTTTTTCGTTGAGCTATGAAACTTTGTCTATCATTTCCACCCATCCATCTATTCATCCATCCATCCATTCCATCAATATACCCATATCCATCCATCCACCCATCCACCCATCCATCTATTCATCCATCCATCTATTCCATCAATATACCCATATCCATCCATCCACCCGTCCATCCACCCATCCATCTATTCATCCATCCATGCATTCCATCAATATACTCATATCCATCCATCCACCCATCCATCTATTCATCCATCCATCCATTCCATCAATATATCCATATCCATCCATCCACCCATTTATCTATCCATCCATCCATTCCATCGATATGTCTATATCTATATCCATCGATCCACCCACCTGCCCACCCCCTCATTTTTCATTCATTTATTTGTTTGTTCATTCGTTCGTTTTCAATCTCGACCATTCATTTCAATTTATTCATTCATTTCATTCTTGATCTAATTTGTATTTTCGCAGGCTTTGTTTTACATGTTTGTGTTTCGCCATCGTTCTCTCCTGGACCTAGAAGACGGTAAGTTCATCAGTTATTTCTATTTTTATTTATTTTTAACTATTCCTTTTTTTTTTTTTTTTTTTAAAAAAAAAGATCAATTAAACAAATTTTCTTCTCTCTTATTTATGACAGGCCACAAGTTTCTGAGAAGATTAAATTTCGAAAGGATAATCACGAGTCGATTAAACCCTCTAAAGGTACGAATATAGCATACTCTGTGCCATTTCCTCTTAACATAGTAGATCTGTCAACTTGTATCTGCTCTAATCTGCAGTAATTGTATTAGCGGGACCAGGAGGTTACACAAAAATATAAGACTAGAAACAGAAATAAATTTTGTCAATGCGTTGCGTTACGTTTAAGAGGTCAGGGCGGGGCGGTGTGGGTTTTATCCCCTTAAACGCTACCCCGATCCTCGGGAACCCAGGGGTAAGATTCTTTCTGCCCTCCCACTAAATTCACCTATTTTGCGTGCTTTTATCATAGGAACGAAGTCGGCGAGCTATCTATGGCTTGTAGCTACATTTATACCACCATTAATTTAACTTTTTTAAACTAACAAAATAAACTATAAAAAAACCTTTACCCAAAACTAGGATGAATGCAGCAAACGCAAGATAACATATTTTGCCTGATTTTAGGTGTGTCTACCGAACATTGTCAATCTGTTTGCGCATGTGACAAGGTATGACTGACTTGTCCGTAGTCTAGTTGTGAATCTAACTCTTTTTACAAAGAAGAGCGGTATGCTCTCGTTTGAGCCATGTTACTCTCTTGAAATAAAGTTCTCATTACTATACTTCGGTCCGGTTGTATTCTTTGCACAGTGATCCTTGGCTAATTGCAGACGTTGATTGTGTCCGCGATCTTAATCAATGATTGAAATCCATAACTCCGATATAAGTCTGTTCTTAATTCTCTTCGTTACTAGTTCCGACAAGTAAATAGAGGCTTTGCATCATCACGTGAAGGCAGCCATGACAGGAGGCACAATAATATAGTCGTTTTCTCCCCTGGGAAACTGAATTCCTGCCTCCTTTCGTGGCTGCCATCAAGTGATGGTGCAAAGCCTCTATTGGTTTTATTGTTGCGCGCGCATTGTTATGCCTACATCTAGTTCCTTTTCTTATTTTTTTATCTTTTCTTTTCTTTCCTTTCCTCAGGCGATACGAAATCTTGTTATGCTATACAGTAATCGAGAGGAACAAACGGTCCATGTTGCCCGTGGCAACGACACAGTCCAATAAAGCCGCCTCTCGGCTTACAGTCTTCAATCAACTCGATTCATTTTTCCCCTTTGACCCTTATCTCCTGCGCAGGTAAGATAAAAATAAGACAGAAATTATGTGGGGAATGAGCCAGAGATCGTGACATTACTGGTCGCAAGAGACTGGGGAGAGTTTTGAACTTTTATCTAGAAAGTCTAGCTATCATGGATGTGTTTCAATGGAAATAAGCTTTCGAAAGTGAATAACAATGTTTGTTTACAGAGGACGCTTTCCTTTCTCCAAAAATGCTAATTAGATGACAATTCAAAACTCTTTCTCGTTTTCAAACTGGTCAATAATCCACTTTCGAGACTTGCTTCGCTTGTCACACACTAAGGTCTTAATACGAGGCTACGTACGTGACAAGCGAAGTATATTTCGGAAGCGGTCAACTGCATGTGTGACAACAGGCCAAGTAGCATAAAATTGAGTCACGCTTAACATTTGTAAAGTTGCGCGCATCAAGCAACTCGTCAGTAACGTAGCTGGTCATGATGCTCTCAATGATAGAGCGATTGAAGTATGACTTGCGCATGCGTGGAGCCTCATTCTTCAAGTTTGTTCAAGCCAAACGTCAATTTATCTCTGTTTTGTTGCTTTAGGTCAGGTAAGTTTATCAAGCCTCTCTATCAAGATTGGCAAGGGATAGACGAGGAGACTGACATCCATGACGAACTGAACGAACAAGGAAAAGTCTTTGACAGCGAGGTATGTCTGGTATCCGTATTTTCCTAAAGTAAAGTCCAGTTATTAAAGTAAGTGTTGTTATTGTTTACAGGATGAAGAGGGCGAGGAGTACATGGAGTACGGTAAAACACCCGATATCGATGTACCGGGCCTCACCCCCGAGATGTCCATGTGTATATCACCGGGGTTTTCTTTTTCTCCTATAGAAAAAGAAACAAGGTTGCACCATAGTACACACAGGGTGACCAAGCATAAAACATAAACTAAATCTGGTTTGTACGTGAGTAATAGGAAACCAAAAGGCAACAGCCCAGGACGACCAAAAATGCGCGGTCAAGTCACACAGGGTGACCATAACGCGTATTCTTTATCAGACGCAACTCGGTGGGTTTGTACTCGTGAACGAGACAGTAACAAAATGGGTTCCTTGTAAGCAGGATGACAAATGAAGATCAAAGTCAGCCGCAAATGAAGAGTTTTACATTTTGTCCCTTGATGCTTCGCGCGCTGTATCCAACCCCCCTCCCCCTCGATGTGCCAGAAAACATGTACACAGGGTGACCAAAGATAGGTATTAATTTGCGACGAAGAGAGAGAAAAAGGATGCAAAAAACAGGCAAGATGACCAACCCCTATCGCATGGCGCTGCCAACTAAAAACTTAGTAAGAGATCTTTTTGCGAATGGTTTGTTGCGGTGGTATAGACCCCTTGCAGCACTTTGGAATGTAGCTGAATTTGGGGGACCAAACAATAGGTTCCAATTCTCAAGAGATTGGAATTCATTTGTTTTGTCCCCCAGATGGAGCTGCTTTGACGTCACATGTCTATTAATTACCTGGCCAAACGTTTATTCATGTCCAGGGTGAACATGTATCCATAATTCCATTGAATACTCACATCGATATCGTTATCAAAATGATTTAATTAAATTCACAGAATTCAGAATTTGGAAAATACTTATATCACTCAGTTATATCTAAGTACAGTCAAGACTTACAGCAATTACAATATAACTCCACTCGTTTCATTGCATTTTCAATGTATAAAATAGTTATAATATATCTTTAACGAATACAAACAATGGCTCCAAGTTCAAACGGGTCGGACTTGATTTGTACAAACATTCTCTCTATTTTATCAAGGGCAGCCTCCAATGGAGCCATTGGTTCGTATAGAGTGTTTTCGCGTGACGTCACAGCGGCCATGTTGCTGTACCAAAGACAATACATTTTCTATCTTCCGGGAATTAAACTCTATTTTTATGCAAAAACTGCGCAGAAAGTTTCTATTGTTTGGCACATCAATATGGCTGCCTTGTCACGTGAGTGAAAACGATCTATTCGGGTTCTTTAAATTTTAAATTGTAAAGTTTCTCTGAAGAATCGGATCAAAAAATATATACATCTTAATATTTCTAAATTAGGTTGCTTAGTCGCCTCCTTTGATTTAGGATCCTTCAGGAGTAGTTTCCTTGGATCCAATAGGGATATTATTAGTTCTTTGAGTTCAGCAGATAGCATATCCGGCCACAGCTTCTTACCAAATTGTGCACGTGTCAGCCGCACAGCGTCTTCAATCTCCCCTCCCATCAACCGCCAAGTAAAAAAGTACAGTTCCTTGTCGTAGAAGCGCATGACGTCCCCGACATATCGTAACGATTTCAGTTTAGCGATACGATCTCGATCGTTCTCGTCGATGGCTTTGGAAGCGGGGCTTTCCTCCTCGTCTACAAGCCTCGTCTTGGCGTGCGGGATCTTCGCTGCTTCCCAATTCCCATCACATTTCTCGAACTGGGAAAGGATGGAGTTTTCCCGCGAGTTTGGAACAATCGCATCTAAATCGCAGATCACCGCAAAAGGGATTCTCAAATCTCGACAGATTCCAGCTCCTTTCCAGAGGTTTTTCTTTCCTCCAATAGATACAACCTTACAGCTTCGGACAGCTTCTTGCACGAGGCTCAGTTGCTCGTCTGTGAAGTATTGTCTCTCGTACGCTGGATCTTGAAACAGGGTCGCAATAAACGTATCGTAAGTGTGTGGGAAAGGTCTGGGGGAAGGGCTTCTCGACGGAGAACGTCCATCGGTTGTCGCGGATTCCTCACGAGATAGCAGTGTCCTTGTGCAATGTTCCGTGAGGACTTTCCACAGATCGCTTTGCCCCTCGTCAAACAAGCCCAGCAAGGCCTCGATAAATCTCTTGTCGCTCTCTCCTTCGACCCAAATTATATGTCGCGAGAAGAAGATCTCGCGTACCTCGGCTCCACCAATAAACAGCAGCTCTCTCTCGGTATATTTGGCCGTCACTCGTCTTATCTGGCAGTATCCGTCCGGTAGAAGTTGGAATCGCCAGATTAGAGTGATTCTATCGACATCGAGAAGCTCGGGAGAATGAGAAGCCGCGATAATACACTTGCGCCTCTTGACTGATTCACGCATTAGAATGTTGCGCAACCTTCGGGTCTGCAGCGGGTGCATTCCGCGGGTCGGTTCGTCCAGGATGACATTTCTAGACCCTGGTTTGACGAGCAGGGCTGCTATGATGAACGCAGTGAACAACCCTTCTGGGATCCTTCGCATCACTCTCCCTGTTTTGGTATCTACGATCTTGAAGGATTCTTGGGGGAGATTCTGCGTGTTCAGTTCAAAAGAAATAGATTTGCTACCGATAATCTCGTGGAAGAGAACATGTATATCCGACCAGTTTTCAGGCGGAAAACCACGCAACAGATCAAGGACTATGATTTTCTTCAGCTCGTGGTAATTAGACCACGCCAATCCACCAAAACTTGACATGCGCTTGAAGGAATGCCGCTGACCAGCAGTTTGCCGACGCTCGAGCTTTGGGCTCGCATTTTCTGTCTCACAGTGGCCCGTCTTGAAAATCTTCCCTCCGTCACCTTGCATCATACCTATGATCCCACCATCCACATCAGATTGGAGACCTTCAACTGTTTCCATAGCGACACCTTCAGTAGTGGGCTCAAGTGCTACCTTATTTGCAAAGTTGCACTGGAACACAGACTCCAAGCTACTACAGGAAGCGTTCCTTAAAAGTCCCTCGGCAATATACGGAACTTTAATTACGTTGAGGAGAAACGAATGTTGAGGGATCCAGTCCATAGGGTTGACCCCCTCTGGTAGCAACTCGTGGAATCCAGTAGTGATAATCCCCTCTGACTTGGTAGCAACAAATATACCATCGTCCATTATAATATACAAAAACTGAGAGTTGCAGAGCGGATCTAATTCAGGATCATAAGCGGGTCTTGAATACTGAGTTCCTATTGGTTGGTGTCTGTGACCAACGAGAAGGTCTAGTTTTGAATTGACATGGCGACAAGCCATTTTGATTGGTTCGAGTAAAGCCGAGGGGATCTTGATTAATTCATCACAAAACCAAGAGCTTAAGCCTACGGATAATTTCGTGGCTTGTCCAGCGGTTGCACAGGATTCTTCGCATACCTTAACCAACTCTTTGCCATTGCTAAATTCAAAATGACAGACTGCTTTGGACTCGCCTTTGCCATTAGTTATGACCTCAAAATCTGGCCCCTCATCTTGGAGATTGCAGGCAGCTTTAATGAGCGCCACCAAGCTACTTTTACCGCTCGCGTTCTCTCCGACAAAAGTGTAAAAATGCCTGCCTTCTTTGCCATCGAAGTCGAGTTCATGGCGACCCTTGAAGATAACGTAATTCTCCACTACAACACGCCGTAACATGACTAGAAGTGGTCAACCTGAAAGAGAAAAACAGGAAATGTTTTTCTACATGCGTTTTTGCTGAAAGGGCGTGGCGTTATGATGGTAAGTTATTTTAAAAGGTGAAGTAGTATGACCAACGATATCGTGTAGTATGTCACGTAATATTTTGGCGATGAATATATTTCTGATTGACAGCTTTTTAATTCTCTGTATGTTTGAGCTGAGAGGGAGTGACATTGAGATGGTAAACCCACGTTTGTCACCAATTGTTTAAGGTAAAATTACGGTCGAGGTGTAAGAACTAATTGTGATTAACAAAATTGTGCAGCTTGTTAACCCAACATTTTCGATAAGTGCTTCCTCACCCTTAGTTTCCTATGCAGCCGCTATTAGTATCGACACGCAACGCGTTGTGTGACAGTTCCTAAGTGAACGTGCTGCCATTAATAAAGACTGTTTATGGCCCATTCCAGTTCTGTCCTAGTCTCCTACGCAGCCGCTATTAGTATCGTCACGCAACGCGTTGTGTGACAGTTCCTAAGTGAACGTGCTGCCATTAATAAAGACTGTTTATGGCCCATTCCAGTTCGGTCCCGATCTTTCCCCTGGTTAGGTATCCATTTTTTCTTCCAAATTTCATTTGCAAAGCTCATCCAGACTTTCCATACTTCCAGTTCTTCCCTCCCCTCCCCTTTCTTCAGAATATTTATTTACTGTCTCTACTCCATTGAAATTAGTCAACTTTCTAAAAAAAATACCAAAATTTCCAGTCTCTTATTCCTGACACCTGGATTTTATAGTCGTAACGAATGGAGTACGTAATGCATGAACTCGAATACAATGGATGGCGTGTGAACTATTAAGCACGACCACACGACATTTAAGTGGCCCTAATAAACCAGCCTTATAGTGCCTACCATAGCAGTATACAACAATACATGACCTATTGCTCATATTACAAAGATAAATAAAAGATACTTATCATTTTAATAAAATAAATCAATATGATAATTACGCCTCATGAATACTACAAGCTGAATTATCAACCTAAATTTACAATTTGAGAAGCTACGAGAGAAGCTATTTCTTACCTCTATGATGAAAGTTTTCTACCTGTACACTGCGTTCTTGGAGAATCCCTAGGATAGGATCGACAACCGACACGACCATCCAATGCTCACAAACGATCGAGAGTAGCTTGCTCAATTTTTGTTAATGCAATGATCGTTAACAATTCTGGGGTCGGATGCTTGCTATGTTGCAAAATTTCTCCGATCGGTCTTATTTTGTGCAGCAATATCGAACAGTTTGGTTGTAGTTTCAACCTTGGAGATATAAACACGTCAACATTAGGGGCGCTAAGTCACCAAGCCCTTTGCCTGAACACAGGTAGCCCATAAGGTACTTTTTCGTCTTGGCCATTTTCAACTACTTCTCATTAAAACAAACCAGAGGTAAGAATTTTGTTTAAATAACCTGAAAAAATAGCTATAAAGCTTTTAACTAGATTCTTTATTAAACAATTAAAAGAATAAATATTACTTCCATTTGATTTTATTAAACTTTTGAATTTCATTAAATCAAATCAAAATTTTTACTAATTTTTACTTTATTTTGGTCTTTATCAGGAACTTAGGAGAATATAAAACGATAATGTAAGATATATAACATAGCCTTAAATTTAACATACTTATGGAATTACAAAGCCATTCAATACTCCATTTCACAGTTCCGTTCAATGCCCACAAATAACAGTTCCAAGCCAAGGCTGGAGTTGCCGTGCACAATAAGTGTAGTTTTGCTATGCACAGCACCTCTAGCCTCGACTTGGAACTATTATTCTTGGTCACTGAATGGAACTGTAAAAAAAAGAATTATAATAATAAACTAATTTCGATTTTTTTWAAATTTTAGATTGTTATTCAAATCAACCAAATAATCTCAGAGTAATGTGCATTGTTAGTTAGTCTTTGTGCAGCCCTGCTATTAACTCTGTCTTAACCAAAGTTAAAAGTGGGCTGCACAAAGCAATAGAATACATGACATCTAGTGCATTGTTTCCTTTAAAAACTAATTCCTCTAAATATTCATGAAATAATATAAGAGATCTGCAGACATGATCACTAGAAAACTTAACAGGTTAATGGGGAAAGGAAGAAGAAGGTGATTAATTTAGTGATAGCCTGCTGATTTATGGAGCTCTGGAGTTTGATAGGAATATTGCAAGGAAAATTTCAATCTAAACCACAAATACCAAATATTAAAGACAAGCAATTGCAGAAAAGGCAATTTAACTTTTTATGAAGTAATTTTCTTTTGCCCGTGAAAGAATAGTCAACTTAATACAGTAGCAGACACTAATTAAATCGTTTTCTTTTGTTTTATTTAGACTGTTAGTCCCTAATCATACGACTTTGTTTCTCGGGTCAAGTAAAATCACTAGTAACTGAGGAATGAGGCAAAACATGTAGATAAATAATTCAATACTTTAAAACATGAAAATGAGATGATTTCATCTTTTGTTGTCATCTTAACCCGTCGACGTTTCTTCTTCTGCAAGTGATTATAAACATTTCCACAAAATATATGACTGCTGTTTTTTGTTGTAATTAATGCATTTTAAACTAAATCATATTCTTTTAAAGTAAAAAAGAATTAGCAAAAAACTCTACTATGATTTACTCTTACTACTAGCTGCTATACTGGTAGCTCAACTAGACTATTGATTAATAATAATTACTATTACAAATCCATTAACTATTTGACCACTGTTTTTCCATTAACCTACACATCTTTCTTGTTCTCGGCACTGTATGGTGGTGGTGGTGCATGTGGCTACAATACAGAAAACAATTAAAATGATTAAAAAGTATTATCAAATCCATTAATAATTCACGAGGAAAACACAACAGAAATCACGACCGTGAAAAGTGTCGTAAATCTGATACAAAATTGTGTTCATTTGCATAAACTTTAAGTTGGATTTTCTTGGCCAGATTTACTTTACTTTTGAAAATTTTAGTGAAACACAAAGGAACTAACCTAGACGTTTGATAAGTCATATACAGTATTCGTGTCCATGTTGTATTTGATATACAAACTCCCGGCTACACCTCAAGGTTGTATATGTGATACAACACGGCCACTCATACTGTATATATTACTTATTAATTTACTATATATCAAGTATGACCTTATTCCATGATAACGTAGTATGCATATGATTATACTTAAATAAATGAATGGGTGGATGGATGAATAAATAACCAATGACCTAATTCAATACCCACACCTCACACCTATACCTATATACATAGTAGAGGCATGGATATTTTCAGTAAGTGTGCTAATAATAAAGACAAATCAATAGTTAAATTTCATCTTTTGGGTGGGAATGTAGATCTATACCTGATTCGAAGGAACATAGACATTTTGACCCGAGCTGTACGCTTCTCGTGCTTTGGCACCTAAAATACAGATAAAAATTAATAATACTTTAATGAATTATTATATCAACATCATCATTTCACTGTACTAGCTCCCCCCTCAACAACCTATCCATCTGTGCAGAATAATGTTGAGTGGATAATGACAGTGGTGGGGTGACACACAATTTACACAATTTTTTTTCTTTGCATGGATAATCACAGTGATAGATCCATTGGGGGATTAAATTGGGTCAATTGCCCCATCCCCACCCCTCATGTTAAGTACTGGTCTAAGATCTTTTTTGGATACTCTAAAAATTAGACTTTCTTGCTTCTACCGCAAACCTCAAACTGCAGTTTAATGTGAGGAGTTTTCCATCAAACTTTCTAAATTTAGCAAGGCCTTATAATGAAGTTGTTGCTGCCAGGAAGCCTTATTGGATTTCATTGATACCAAGTGTTTCTCCATGCTTGCAGATGTGGTTCTGGGTGTGATTCCTTAGCGGTTAGTGGTTAGCAGTAAACTGATGCTAAAGGTCTCTAATGTCTTACCTCCTCCTCCAGGGAAGTCTGCAGGTGGTGCTGAGGGTGTTGCTGCTTGTCCAGGGTATGGAGGAGGGTTTTCCTACAAGAATTCCCATTGACAGTTAGACTTGTAAGTATTTTTAAAAGTGTTAATAATTTACATACACATTAAATTTATGTTTTAATGATAGTAGTGGTGGTGCCAATGATGCCGATGATGGAGATGATGCTGATGGTGATGATAATGATGATGATGCATGCTGCTAATTATGATGACGTACATGTGTATGCTGATGATAATTGATGGAGGGGAAGGTGATAGTGATGATGCTGATGCTGATGTTAATGATAGTGATGATGATGTTAATGATAGTGATGATGATGCATGCTGCTAATTATGATGTACATGTGTATGCTGATGATGATTGATGGAGGGGAAGGTGATAGTGATGATGCTGATGCTGATGATGATGTTAATGATAGTGATGATGTTAATGATAGTGATGATGATGCATGCTGCTAATTATGATGTACATGTGTATGCTGATGATGATTGATGGAGGGGAAGGTGAAAGTGGTGATGCTGATGCTGAAGATAAAATGATGCTGCTGCTGATGATGATGTTAATGATATTTATTATATTATCTATTTTATACTTACAGGAGGAGCATACTGTGGTGGTGGTGCAGCTGCAAAATCAAAAAAAATTAATACATGATGCAATGACGTAGGTGATGTGATCTTAAAGTGCTACTATGACGAAAATCGCTC